TAGGTGGAGGACAAAAGATGAAGAGATCAGAGGTGTTGATAATTCCCTTTTGAACCTACTGGCACAATCAGCCTCTACTGCCTCCGCGTCTTGTCAAATCCATACAATTACTGCTCACTCCCTGTATAAATTAATCAAATCAGACCCGTCTCCTTCGGAGCTTGAGTCTGTCCACTCTGTTAACGGTATTTTGATTACGTTAAATCTACTGTTCTAGTTCAGTTTATCTGCACTGTAAGAAAAGAGTTAAAATAAGAAACTTTTGTGGGAAACGTCTTGGGAGCCACCAGCAACAACAACAACTTGGATTTATGTCGCGCCCTCCACGCCGGGCGGCGTCTCAGAGCGCTTTACAGTAACGGATCCCGGGGCCGCGCCAGGGAGAGGGGGGGGAAGGTGACCCAAGGCGCGGTCGAAAAGAATGGTCTTCAGCAGAGATCTGAAAATGGGAAGGGAGGGGGCGAGACGAAGGGAGTGAGGAAGGCAGTTCCAGAGCCTCGGGGCATAGTGGCTGAAGGCACTGCCGTCGAGAGTGGAGCGGAGGACTCGGGGGACGAGGAGGAGGCCAGACCTGGAGGAACGGAGGCAACGGGTACTGTTTTGAGGAGAGAGGAGGTCAGAGAGGTCGGGGGGTGCAGAGGAGTACAGGGACTTGAATACAAGGGTGAGGATCTTGAAATCTCTGGGATAGTGCAGTCTAGCAAGGACTGAGGTGATCGGGGAGCGGAGTTTGGTGCAGGTGAGAATGCGGGCGGCAGAGTTTTGAACGATTTAGATTTGCAGCTGCCAATCATGAGCTGGTGACCAGACATGCGTCCAGATTATTGTGACAATTGTTTAAATATTTGCCCGGAACATTTTGATTCAACCTAAGTCATTTGAGTGGTTGCAGGGTTAACACCGATGAGTCCGTGACAGAATTAAAAGAGTCTTCAAGGAGCCAAAGGAACACTGACAAATACTTTCACGCTGACCAGCTGAAGCTGCTTAGAGAGAAGTAACCCTTCAATTCCCGTAGACGTGTGAAGTGAAACTGTTGGGAATGTGGATTTTACAAGCACAAAAGCATAAACAACTTGCATTTATATAGCGCCCTTCACACCGGATGGACGGCATCTCAAATGCGATCTCAATACAATTGATGATGATTGGGTTGTATGCGCACCATGTTTAACCTCGTTACGCTACAACAGATGCCGGGGTATCCATTTGCACGTGTAGGGTGGGATGCCCCTGGTAATCTCAGCTTGGTTTGGATACTCTTAAAACATGGCGATGGGTGTCAGACACCCAGCTGCCCCCCAAAAAAGCCAGATGTTCGAGAGTTGAAAGAACACTAATAAAGATTTAATGGTAGTGGTAACAGGATTGAAATTAAAGCCCTTTCCCCAAATTAGTAGAATGCTGAGGGCGGTCAGGGGAGCAGCCACATTTATACAGCACCCGACTATGGATTGTTTTTAACCAGACATGGGAAGGAGCCCTAAATCATGCGAACCTGACAGCCCAGGAGGAAACTCATTGCGAACGCCAGAGAAAAGATGAAAGGTCACAGCAATTAACCAGCCAAAAGGCAAGGACACATTTGAAAGGCCTTTTGGCTGGTTGATCAGAAATAAATTTGACCCCCTCCTTCCAAATAACACGTACGATGGTTAAACAAGGGTTACATGTCTCCCTCTCCCCCCCCCCACCCCCATTTAATCTGGCAACAAGGTGGAGAGGCTAGACCGAGGCTATCAGGATTATCAAAACCAGGTCTATTTTGCTAAGAATCCCTGGAATTTGAATCGAGATACGCACCAGGGACAGTATTACCTTGTCTTGGTAATAAAAATAATATTAATAATAACGTGGTCACTCAATCCACCACTATTTGTGGGACACTGCGGTGCACCTCGTGGAGATCGACATGAATCATGTGAACCTAGGAATGTTTGGTTCATTACAAAACACTGCTAATTGTGACGATAACAATGGCATGAAATTATCAATCCCACCACAAATTGTACATGAATAATATTGAACTGTTTTCTGTACTTGTCCCAATAACAACCCCTCCAATTTTTTGAAAAAATGGTACGAAGCAGCTGCTTTTGACACCGCTGTGCGCAATTGGCTGCCGCGTTTCGCCCACAAAATACACGGTCACTACACATTCTGTGTATTCTGTGAAGCGCTTCGAGATGTCTCGACCACGTGGATAAGGTGCTGTATCAAATGCAAGGATTATAATTATAATTATTAGCCCTCGGAGCATTGCAGACCAGTTCACTCACCACCAGGGTGCTGGTGGGATTTGGATAAGTGAATTAGCCTGCAATACTCCAGGGGTTAAAAAGCATCGGAGTGAACATCTGGTTAACACCCGACAATGAACCTTCTCTTATCAGAGATTGACAGGCGTGTCCAGAGAGTATCATTGGCGGAAAATCTATCCCGTCCTGTTATCACATCATCAACACGTCTCAAAGAGCTTCCCGGGATTTTACTGTGGAGTGTAGCGACTGTGTATTTGCACGCAAGTGCGGCAGCCAATTTAGAATAGTAACATCCACCTAGACAGGCAGATATGGTCTTGGTTTATCATCTCATCCAAAGGGTGGCACCTCCAACAATGCAGTACATCCCCAGCACTGCATTGGAGGGTCAGCCGAGACCGTGCGTTCAAAGTCCCGACACGGGGCTCGAACCTGTTGACTCAAGAGGCGAGAGGACCACCAACTGAGCCAGCCTGACCATGTTGAAAACACATCGGGTTTTGCTAAATTTAAAGTTCTCCGTCAAACAACAACTTGTATTTATATAGTGCTGTTCACCTGGGGTAACGTCTCGGAGAATGGAGATGAATAACTCAGCAACTCACCTCAAATATTACTTGTGTTCCACTCAGTGAATGAATATATTCCGTTAGATTCTTGTTGGATCTTCCGTAGCATGTGTGTATAGCACAGTTTGTGTAAGATAACATATTTATGGCTTCCGGACAGTTGATTGGCAGCATTCAGTATATTGAAACGTAAAGTTTTAGTTCGGATCTCTGATCAGAATCTGCCTCTCTGACTCTGTCAGTAATAGTTGAGTTCTCCGCTACCACCACCAAAAAAATGACAATTCCAACTGGCCGTCATTCCCCGAATCCCATTAGATCGTGTCACTTCAGGAAGCCTTTAATGTGGGAGTTCCATTGCTGAGCCCTGTAAATAAGATTGCTGCGCTAATTAAAACCATAACACTAAGCAGCTCCGCTTTATTTAAGGTAAAAGGCAAAAATTCCTACAACTTACCCAAGAAGAACTAGACAAAATTCTTGAAAACCATAGCACATTGCACATAAAAAGAAAAATGTAATCTGGTTATAACATTTGTTCTGGTGCTTAAACTCTCATTCCAATCCTCAAAAGATTAACTGGATTTCCAATTAATTCATCGGCAGGAGAGTGAGAATGAACAAACATTTCCAGTGTAAGCATGTGCAGACCGGGCTGGTGATAGGCCCTCTTGCTTTATACAAAAAGACATGTAAACCAGAGACACAGCGATCAAGGCTCAGTGACTCAACTCTATGCCCATCGAGCTGCATTTCGTTGAAAACACAATTGTTTTGTAGAGCAATAGTATGGAGATGATGTGGTTAAACCACATCCTAAGTCGGAACTATTTGAATTGGGTTTCTATTAAAGGTGTCATTTTATTCAAAAAAATCTGAAGTCAAAGGACTATCCATAAATTGTTTCAATTTTCACAAGACTATTGAGGATTGGGGTGGGGGTGTGGGGGGTGGAAGAGAAAACCATTTATGCTTACTTTACGTTTGTGTTTACTTTATGTTAAACCCCTAAAAGCTCAATTGGATTTGAATGTATGGCAATTATAATAAATTACTCTACAAATAACAAAATTATAAGTAGATCTGTTAAGTTTCTGTTTCCCCTGCGATAAACATGCCTCTTGGCAATGATAGCAGGGAAAATTTGTATATAAGGTTATTCTCCCTCTTCAATTTACTTGGGAGTTGGGGAGCAGATTTGAATGCAATTGGAATTTAAATCTTTTGACAAATTAATTTAAATTAATTTGTTTTTCATTTATATGAAAGTCGAGTGACCCAAAATGTAAATTCAGAAGTAAATCAAGCTGCTTACGTGCCTATGACTGCAACTGATCGAGACTGCAATCCTCACACAGGCTTTATGTAGGATGCTGTAAGAGCTTCTCATATCAACAACAAATTACATTTGTATAACGCCTTTCCTGTTGGGAGGACATCCCAAGGCACCGGACAGTCAAGGATTTGGACCCGAGCTGGGGGTTGGGATCAGGGAGTGTGCCCAAAGGAGCGGTTGAAGAGGAGGGTCTTTAGACGTGCCTTGAAGGAGGCAAAGGAGGGATAAAGGTGAAGGGACTGTGGGTTGGAGTTCCAAAGAGTGGGGGCAGATAGGCTGAAGGCACGACCGCCGTTGGTGGGGCGGGCTGGGCAGAGGATTTGGAGCAATTTCTCATCTCCCCTCTGGTTCTTTTGCCAATTATCTTGAATCTACGTCGTAGTTCACAGAGGGAGCGGCAGGAGCGAAGCTGGGAAGCAACGACTCGTTCCAGGACCTTGGAGAGGAAAGGGAGGTTGGAGATGGGCAATAATTGGAGATTGTAACTGTGTATCCTCTCTTCCTGCAGTCAAAACCTTTTTGAAAACACTCCCTTCGGTCTCATCACCTTCCTCCTGTTCCCTTGGCCTGATGATCCACACAGTGTAAAGAGTTGCCAAACAATTTCCTACATGAAAATTACGTGTACGTAGTGAAGTGACAGATGATTACTCAGCCATAAACAATTAATTGCTCACAATTCAAAACTATCTCGCTCTGGTCAAGCCCTCCAGGATGCTACATGAATGCAAGTTGTTGCTGTTGTTGGTCAGAACACTGACCTGAAAACCGTTGTAATTTAACATTCGTTGCATGTTTTTTTTTTGCAGATAAGTGAAGAAAGGACACTGGTTGTACTGAGGAATTTTGAAATGTTTAATAAGTACAAGTACAATAAGCAATTACAGAAACCTGCTCAGCAAGTTTAATTACAAATAGGTAACTAAATCCTCACACTAATTGCAGCGTATAGCAGGTATTAAAATTTACTTAAATTGCATCAAACTACTGATCTTCATTGGAAAATTGTGTATTTTTTTTTATTCACACCAAAATAATCTTTAGCTGAAAGCATGAGAGAGATGACCTGCACCTAGACTTTGGTCAGTGTCTCTCTAAATGTACACAAGCAGGACAGTGACTTGCTTCTGAAACACTACGCTCCCTCCCACTACACGGTACCTTGCTTCTCCTTAGCATTTCCCCACTATCTCGTTGACATCAGGAATTCACAGTCACCAGCGAGTGCATGATTAACATTTTAAAAAAGGGTATCGACACATGTAAGAGCTCTGAGACACTGCCCTGCGTGGAGGGCGCTATCTAAATGGAAGTTGGCGGTGATATCGTTGATCCTAGAATCCAATCAACTATTCACTAATTCTTGCTCTTTGTAGTCTGAAAACTGCTCAATCTAATTTGCGGGAACGCCTTTTGACCTTCTTTGTTCTTTGTTTAATTATTAGTAAATCATTAGCTATGCCCGAGGAAGCCTCTTCGTTGGCGTGAGTTTCGTTCTTCCTTGCTCTCTTCCTCTTTTTCCTGGGCTTAGTTAACCCAGGCACAGATTCTCTTTCCGTTTGTTTTCTCTTCGATATCTTTCTCTTTCTCCTCGAATATTTTTCACTGGGTAGAAACAATAGAGAGCCCCGGTGGTGTGTGTGCTGTGATCTGTTAAGTCCTGGTGAGCATGCTGCAAGCCCTCTAGGAAAATCCTTATCAATCTCTTTGTTAATCTTTCTGGAAAATTTGGAGGATCTGTGACAATGCTTCTCAGATGGATTTTCAGTCAAAGATGATTTCTCACTCTTTTTCTGCTTTGCTTTTTCTCTTCTTTTCTTGTTCAGCTCTCGCTTTTGTCTTTTTAGCATTTTCTTGGAGAGCACTTGCTTGCCTTCCGCCTCTGACATCTTAACAAGACTAGCCACTTGCAGATCTGGAAAGGTAACTGTAAATAATAAGGGAATGTTAATTTGTTTGGTGGTCAGGAGTCAATTACCAACTGGAAAGAGAAAGTTCTAGTCCTGGGTGGGGGACGTGGAGCAAGCTGGAGCCCGCTGAGCGGAGAGAGCGGACAGGTTGATACGGGGTTAGCAGGTCCCAGAGGTAGGAAGAAGCAAGGCGTGCAGGGGCTTGAAGGCGAGGACAAGGATTTTGAATTCTATACTACGAGGCGAGAGTGCTACCAACTGAGCCAAGTTGATACCTAATATTAGCAGATAGAGTTGGCATCATTTTGCGCAAAACAAAAACCCAGTGTAATTCACGATTGCTTTGATCTGTGATGTATTCCTAATCTCGATTGTTTTGCTCTAAGGAAATACCAAACAGATATTGCAGAAAGCTGGTTGAGCTTGGGAAAGGTTAGCCAAAGAGCATGGGAGGGGAGGGTGAAACAGCACAATCTGACATCCTTAAAAACTTAACAACAACAAGATTTCATTTATAGAGCGCCTTTCACGTCGGGAGGACGTCCCAAAGCGCTGTGGACAGTTGGGTCGGGACCCGAGCAGGGGGGAAATGGTCAGGGGGAGGGAAGGGAGGGAGCGAGGAGGGGGTAGAGAGTCAAGAGGGGAGCTGAAGGCACGGTTGAAGAGAGACCAGCCAGGACATTAGTATGATGGGCCATGTTTGTGCCTGCAATTTTCAGTCTGAACACACATCCGGCACAAAACAGTCACTGCCCTTTACAGCGAAAGGCGTGATACCAAATCATAACCAATGGAACAAACCTTTCATTTTCTTCTTTATCCGATAATTTCTGCACCCTATCTCTTTGGCCGTGTCGTAGTGATACACAAACGGTGACGCAGGGAAGTTGTCACTGAACATCCGCCTGGCTTTGCACTCCTGTTAAATCACCAAAACAATATACTTAATGATGAAACAACAGTAAAATTCTTCCGTTTGTAACAATGGGCCGCTCACATTTGACAGTACAAGCAAATTGATGTTAAGGCTCAATTTTTCATCTGATATAGCAGGAAAATAAACATTTACGACAGAAGGCCGTGCAGCCCAAATAGCCTGCGCCACCAAGCCCGAGCATATAATCATATGCATAATCATTACCCTCTCCTGGTACCACTTCCCTGCGTTGATTGGGCCTTCAGTCTCTCTGCTGCCACCCCTTGGAACTCCATCCCACATTCCCTTCATCTTGCTCCCTCCCTTGCCTCCTTCAAAACATGTCTCAAGACCCTCATCTTCAACCGTGCCTTCGGCCACCCTCCTACCCCTACCCTCCCTGCCCTCCACCCCTCCTGATCCCAACTCCCTGAGTGTCCAATGCCTTGGGCATCCTCCCGACGTGAGAGGGGCTGTGTGAATGTAATTTGTTGTTGTTGATGCTTGTACGCTGCAGGAGGGAGATTTGGCCTTCCATCAACTAATTAAATTCTATGCTCAATTAATACAGAGTTAAATTAATCTAAGCTGAAAATTATTTTGTAGGACAATTTGGGGCCATTGGGTGTTACTGAATTATTATTCATTGTTATCAGCATCAACTGTCGTCTCGACAATACTTTTTAGGTATCCTTATCCATTATTCCTACCCTGTGTTGAGGTACCCAGAACTGAATGCAATATTCTCAGTGTAGGCTGATTTCTGTCGTCTTGTAATATGCCATCATATGCACTCAGCCAGCATTCGTGCACTAATTGTCAGCAAATCACATCTGCTCAAATAAAGTGCTCGGCAGCAGGACTCTGGATAGAAGTCTTAGAGGAAAGACCATTATTTTGGAGGGAAATAAGTCCTGTGTAACTTTGTACAGCTTTTATTATTACCACCGTATTTCCCGCGCTTTTCCTCCACCCAAAAAAATGTCAGCGCAGTAGTTATTGCTGGAAACTGGCAACATTTCACATCTGCATATAAACAGAATTAACTGAGGACATACTAGGGTTGAAAATTGTGCAGATATTTTCTAAATTAGAAATCGTTCTGATTTTAAAAGGTCACCCTATGTTTAGCAAGCACAAGATCGAGTTTTTCCAAAAGATACGGGGTGGAAATGTAACTTTAAATCCGTCAGATGATTTTTATTGTGGCGTCGACCGGTTATATACGCCATTACAAGTCTAGCAGTTTAATCTTGAATTACTTTATACATTAATCTTATATAAACCCAGGGCTACGAATGAAGGTTGAAGAGCTTACAAAGCCGTAATGTCCTCTCCGTGAACAATTGTAGCAATAAATGTTTCTCATCCGAACCGTATCTGAACGTCCATTTACAATTGGACCTGGTTTAGTCTAGAACAGAGAAACAGACCATTAGTAATATTCAGAAATATTCAGAGAAAGAGCTGTGACAAGCTAAAGAAAATTTTAACAAATAACAATACTCACTGTCAATCATTTAAAGAAATAGAAAATAAACGCTTAAACATTTAAAAAAAAAGGAACCCATTTATCACAGAGGGTTCACAGAAGGAGGTCATTCGGCCCATCATGACTGTGCAAGTGTTACCTTCCTGAATGAAGCCTATTCCCAATAATCATAATTATTAATATTGAGGTCCTTTGTCTTTTTTCCCCCGGGCCCCTTCTCTGCTTGTCCGGATAATCTGTTCCCTCCCAACATCCCCCAGTTCTGACGATAGGTTGTACACCTGAAACGTTAACTAATTTTCCTTTCTCCTTAGATGCTGCCTGACTTACTGTGCGCTCCCAGCAACTTCTGTTTTATTTCAGATTTCCAGCATTTGCAGTATTTTGCTTTTTATTAATATTGAGCGTCTGGGTTGTCATCTGCTCCGAGGGCATGTGTAGAAAGAACAGTTAAATTTATGTGAAATTCCCTTTACTCTAACCCAACATGCATCGTAATGTCAATCCAGGAAGGCACTGAAGCATTTGAATTCTTCCGTTTCCAAAATCAGCCATTCCTTTTAAAATAGAAATCCCAGGTGAAGGTCAAAGATAATTTTGCAATACACCGACTCTGAAAATAACAACTTTTTCTGTCAGGTCCAAACTTAAGAACGAGCGTTTATATCTTCAAAGTGTGAGGACAGCAAATGACAAATGTAAATGCAGGAGATTCTCTGTTAAAAAAAAAAGGGTGAACGTGAAACCTCAAAGGGTTCCCAAAAGGAACTGGACAAGTTCCTTGTCAATTAAACTGATTCAAGAGGAGATAGATGCATCACAGCGTCTTGTAGGAAAATGGGACACGTAGACTGGATGTACTGATAGATATGGTAGGCTCCATGTACACAAGGAAAAAAGTATTTTTAATAGATCAAAGTAAGAATTCAGCACTTATAGCTACACAGATAAAAGTAGTCAACAACTTGCATTTACACACCACACCTCACGCAGGGCAGTGTCCCAGAGCGCTTGACAGTGGCGGAGCCTGATGCAGAGCCGGTGGAGGGGTGACCGTAGGCAAGGCTGAATAGGAACCGTAGGCAACGCTGGGGAAGGAAGGGGCAAGGCGGAGGGATAGAGGGAGAGTGTTCCAGAGTTTCGGGGCGTATTGGCTGGAAGTCCCACAAACAGCTCTGAAGTGAGTGACCAATTTTATCTGGGATTGTTGGCCAGGACACCCAGGAGAAACTCCCTTCTCTTTTCAAATAGTGCCATGAACAGGGAGATGGGACCTCAGTTTCACATCTCATCCGGAGGTCTTCACTTCCAGCAATGCAGCACTTCCCCAACACTATATTGGATCGTTAGCCTAGACTGTGAGTCAACGCGTGCTGTAACGAAGTAACTGACTCACAGACGAACAGGCTGTTGTACCAATATTTGTCTGGGAACTAATTTCCCAAACTATCCGAGGAGAATAAGCCACTGAGAGTAAGAAGTTTGATAAAAATCAAGCAAAACTGTATTAAGGAAACACATATATCTACATATATAGAAAGATTTATAATTGGCTCTCAGCATTCTCACTTATCAAAGAAACCCAATGAGATCACAAGTTTGATTACTAAAAAGAGCACTTTTGTGTTCCTTTTTACAACGACCCCAGTGATGAAAATAAGAGGACGTTTCTGATGAAGTTGCATTAACCCTGCTGGATTAAGGTTGATTGTTATCGAAGGAAAAAATTAATGGTTAAGAGCCTGACACTGAGTAGCGAAGTAATGCAGTGATGTTGGGCTGTGATGTAGGAATACTAAAATGATAGTGAAGTATTCAATAATAAATAGCAATAATCCTTGCATTTGATATTGTGCCTATCGTTGAAACGCCTCAAAACATTTCACAGCTAATTGCTGACTATCTGCTGACATTTCGCGCAAAGCAAGGTCCCATCAGCAGCTACGAAATGATTGCCCAATTTATCTGGAAGACTGAGAGCCAGGATACCCGGAGATGCTCTCTTCTCTATTTGAGGTAGACATACTTGACCGAGTCATCCGTTTAACTCATTCGAAGTGTAGCACCTTAAGACAGTGCTCTTCAGTATTGCACTTAAAAGATCAGGCTAGACTATGATCTTAAAGTCACTATCAACAACAGCAACTTGCACTTATACAGTGCCCCTCACGTAGGGTAGCATCCGGGAGCATTTGACAGTGGTGGAGCACGACTCCGAGCCGGGGGGGGGGGAGATGGAGGTAACCGTAGGCACGGTCGAATAGGAAAGTCTTCCAATGCGACCTGAAGATGGGGAAGGAAGTTGGCAAGGCAGAGGGATGGAGGAAGAGTGTTCCAGAGTTTCGGGGCGTAGTGGCTGAAAGCGGGGCCACTCATGGTGGAACGGAGGGCACGAGGGACATGCAGAGGGCTGGAGTGGGTTGTGGGGCAAGCAGGTGGGAGAGGTGTGAGGATCTCCCGTTCGGCGATAGGGAGCCAGGCAAGGACTGCTGTGATGGGGGTACGGAGTTTGGTACGGGTGAGTATGCGGGCGGCGGAGTTTGGGATCAGCTGGATCCTGTGCATGGTGGAGCTTTGCATCCGGAGCCAAGACTCCTGTCAGACGAGCCAAGTGTTTACTTCTGCATATTGAAAATTCTAGGATCTTTTCAGTGTGAGATGTTGTCAACTTTTGGTGACAACATTTGTTATCTTAAGGAAGATACGGTATCATCCATTACCCAGAAATAATTCAGAGAAAAGGACAGTTGTGTGTCTTATTTCAGGTACCCAGGTATTATTTTAAAAACAGCTGCAAATACTTTATTTTCCAATGTGGAAACATTACCTTGTATAAGAATTTAATACAACAAGAAGCCGTTAATGTACTGAATTGTACTGAACACACTGCCAACATTACATACAAATATCACATTGGATAGACACCTATGCAGATGTAACACTCCAGTGTGAAACATGCACATTTACATATGTACCTGCTCAATCCAAGCATGTCAAAATATTAATAAAATTAAATGATCTGCTTTCCGCTGGTCATTAAAGAATAATACATTGCAGAATTTATCTGCAGACACAGATGAAACAAGAGAAAAGAAAGATCATTGGTAGAAAACCTCCATGTTACAATTTTAACAAACATTTAAATAATCTATACTTGCAGACTGATATCTGGCAGATTACCACACTATCAAAATATAAAAGTAATAACTCAGTAGATAGCAATACCTATGAACGGTTCATCCCATCTGCTATCCTTGGTGAAAGCTTTTCATGCACCAGTAAACTCAGTAAATATCAGAAGATAAAGCATAAGCCAACTATGGCATGGATTTACTCCTAATGTCTCCTGAAAGTGCAGCCCGATGCGATTACAAATGATTTTCTCCTAATGTCATTTTACATAACCCTTTTTCTGCATGAGTAGTTACTACGAAATGAGTGAATGTCATTAAAACAGTTAATCATTATCTTGCAACACTGGGCTCCCTCCCTCTCTCACATTGGAATCTCCATGACAAAGAACCAGAGGACAGAATGCATGGGCTGCCTGTGCGACCCATCTTCACAAGTAATTTTTTATGCAAATGTACTTGTCGGGCAGTTCCCCGGGTGACCTTGAGCTGTTCGTATCAAAATTGACTTCAATCTGATAAGCGTGCTCCTTAAGTAAAACGTGTGATTTTATATACAGTACACGCAGCCGATATTGCCAATTGGTATACATTATAATGAGAATAATAATCCTTGCATTTGATACAGCGCCTTATCACGTCTTCGAGACGTCTCAAAGCATTTCACAGAACATACTGTAAAGTAAATCGACTGTATATTTTGTGGGCCAAGTGGAAATAGTGCAAGGCAAACTGTTTTATCTAACTTTTAACATCATAAGGATATATCTAGGTGTAACCTGCCAACTTTTGTCATTCCTATGACCAAAATTTAAAATTGCCGGATTGAACAAGGAAGATTTTTTCAAAGAACCGTACTGAAAGGAAATAATTAATTTTACAAACCAAACTTGACGTTTTTTCTAAGTTGATTTTTCAATATTTTATTAACGTTTTGCTAGTAATAATTCATCTTGCAAGAAGTCTGCAGTTATAATATGATTTTCAGGATGAATATATACAGTGCATTTTAAAATTAAAGTACAAACAAACAGACAACAACAAAATTACATTTGTATAGGGTCGGGAGGATGTCCCAAGGCGCTGGACAATCAGTGTTTCGGACCCAATCATGGAGGGTGGAGGGCAGGGGGGAGAAAGGAGGGTGATCAAAGGCATGGCTGAAGAGGATAGTCTTGAGATGAGTCTTGAAGGTGGCAAGGGAGGGGGCGAGGTAGAGGGACTGTGGGATGGAGTTTCAGAGGTTGGGCAAGCGAGGTGGGGGACGTGAAGCAGGCCGGAGCTTGCTGAGTGGTGGGTAGGGCAGGTTGGTCGGGGGTTAGAAGGTCACAGAGATAGGGTGGAAGTAAGGCCATGAAGGGCTTTGAAGGTGAGGACCAGGATCTTGAACTGTATCCTCTGTGTGATGGTATGTGAGTGGAGTCGGGCGAGGATGGGGGTGATAAGGTCACGGAGTCTGGTATAGGAGAAGATGTTCTGCAGCCTATGGAGGGAGGAGTTGGTGAGACCGACAAGCACGGAGTTCGCACAGTCAAGCCGGGATGCTATCAATGAGTTTATGAAGGTTTCGGTAGTCTGCGGTGTGAGACAGTGATGGAGCCGGGCGATGTTGCGGAGGTGGGGGAAGGCAGAGTGGGTCATGGCACGGATGTGGGGTAGAAAGGATAGTTTACTTTGTTTTATTTCTGAATTCCAGAATAACTAAATGACTTCAGCACCAAAGTGCCTGCGTCAACAGACATAAGCACATAGTTTTCGCTGGAAAAAGAACCAGAGGGGAAGACGGAGAGA